TGTTTGGTACAGATTCTCCTTTTCTACAGTAAATCAATTCTCATTTTCAACCACACATTCTTCAATAAAATAATATTTTCCATCACATCAATACTTTTTTCTTCTTTTTCAACCACACATTTCCCATCAAATCACTATTCAAAAATCAATTTTTATCCCAAAAATCCCTACCAAACACACTCTAAATAAATATAAGATTACCCCTCAAATTGCTAAAGAAGTGTTAACTATTCAATATCCACAATTATTTCTGGGTTTGCATTCCCTACTAGTGGCTTGATTCTTAATTCTTTTAGAAGTTTGTTGAGTACAAATATAGTTAGAGAGTGATTTGCCCTAAAAATTGGTTGCATGGTAACAAGGAATCTATAGTGATTCATCAACATTTGGATGATGTAGATGCATTAGATGATTCACATAAGGTTAAACAAATTATTATCATATTCCTATTCATTTTATTTTTTGAGTTATTTTATATAATTTAACTATAATAAATGAATTTATGTATTATATTCTTAACTTTACGAAGAGAATGAATCATGTGTTGCAATTGTAGATGTTGCTCCAACTATTATCGACCAAGGAATTAAAATGTTTCTATCAAGTTGTTGCATTATAATGATTAAAATAAATGAATTATAGAACTTTAAGTTGTAATATTTTTAATGTGTATCATTTATATTTTAACGTGCAATTTTAGACTAATATTTATGATTAAACTTATATATTAATTTTTTTCTTTGTTAAACCATAGTTTTAAATCGAACCAAACCGAAAAATGTGATTTTGATTGGTTTGGTTTAGAAATTCAAATGGTATGGTTTTATTTGAGAAAATCTTGGTTTGAAAAATTGTCTCAAACCGCCCTAATCGAACCATGTTTATCCATAATCATATCTATTGGCCGCAAAGAACTTTAATTAACGTACTTAACATTTCTAGATAACTAAATATTTTAATAATTTGTTGATAAAGGTACTTGTTTGTTGTCATAAAGAAGTCTCTGTATTATTCTTCAATTCTGTATTTTCTCCTCACAAAGATATAAGCTTAATTAAAAATCGCCTAATTCAGCAGTCCATATCCCTGATGCCCATACCATTTCAAAATGACCAGACCACTTCGGTTTTTGCCAGGGATTTGGTATTCCCTGGTAGATTAGAAGAAATCCCAGATTCCCACATAATAGTTTAGGGTAGGCACAGGGCATTATCAGAGGTATTTATATGTAATTTCATTTCTAATTTTCCATATTGTAACCATGTTTTGGTATACGTTGAAAGAAATAGCTCAGATCATTGAGACATTCTGTTGTTACATGAAGTGGTTCGGAATTAGAAGAAATATTAGATGCAGAAACCTTCACAAACGGTTAATGACCATAGGAACTTATTGTAGAGGCGAATAAAGGGACTGGATGGACCCTATAGTAAACAGAATAGCAGAATTTTATGAATACATAAGAATCTAAATGTAACTTAGCTTACAAACATAATTGCCACTTCTTCGTGAGAGAGCAACTCTCAGATAGAATTAAGTCTTGCACACGAACTTGTCCAAGTCAAAATCCCAGAATCTAGTTTATATTGATTGTTTGGTTGGAAGAGGTAAGTGCTTTAAAGTTCATGAGTTCAACAGAGACTAAACTTATCTGTAAAATCGGTTAATCGAGGACGTCGTTTTCAAGGCATAGTTTTGTTCAGAGAAGATACATCATGAGAATAATGTATAAATGATAGGTGTACACACACAGTAAATATATGAAAGTGGAGAGACATGATGAGGATAATGTGGCAAACCTCATGTGTGGACCTAATATAAAATAATGCTAGACTGATGCACCGAATTGCAAAGGGAAATGCAATTAACTTTGAGCTCAACTTTGATGTTAACTGAATTTTGATTCATCGCAAAAATGCTGCTGATATTGAAACCATGTTAAATTAGTCTTTTTCAGGTCATATGACTTATTCCATATTAGGTCAAGAGTCAAAACTTTGCAGGACTGCTGGCAAATTGGAGAGACATTACAAAGATTGTAGACTTGAAAGACTACTCCAATAAAATACAGTTAAGAACTGAACTTGAATTCATCAAAAGAATCAGCATTTCGTGAATTAGAACTCTGAAACATGATCATTTTTACCATCACGAGTAAAAAAAACGCGAAAACGCAGTGTGTGCATTTGTAGGCATTTCTATTTAAGTATTAACATAAATTCTGCAATAGAAATTTTTTTTTGAGATGGGTATCAGCATAGTTGAGGATGAAGCAAGAGCATGCAGTTTTGTATTCGTCGATCACCTGAACTTCAATATGCTTATTTGAGTGGAAGATGCATAACCTAGGTCTTTCTTCTCCATTCAACCTGAGAAGACAAGAAACGAACTGACACTTCCGAACAAACTCTGTAGTAATCCTGTTTCGATACAGAAAATTAACGAGAAGAAAGTAATAAACAACATGTAGAACTACATCAATCTGGAAATAAATGTGATCAAACAACAAAGTCGAAAGAAGAGAGAAGCACAAATTGAAACTTCACTTTAGAACAAGTACTCAATACGTGAATAATTGGTGTAAATGAGAGTTCTTAAGCATACTCCATTTGCCCATTTTCACTATTGATAAATGCAAAACACTTCTCTTCTGAGTTGTATAACTTCACTCCTTGATAATAATCTTAATTGCAGGAACCCTTTTACTTTCAGACGAGATTCAAACTCAGTACAAAAAAGAAACAAAGAAACAAGAATAAGCAGCTTATGCGGCTTCTAACCATTATTAGAATGGTAGGCATTCTTGTCCTCTCTTCTAGTTCTGGACTTAGCTTCATTAACGAGAGGCTGAGGCTGAGGCTGAGGCTGAGGCTGGTGTAAAAAACATAGAGCAAAAAGAAAATGAAACGCTACAATAGTAGTATGATGGACAAAAGCCCACGCCACAAATTATACTCCTATTTCATTTGATGAACTAGTGATACATATATCAAGACAAGTCTGTATAGAATAAAATACTAGCAATTCGGATTACAAAGATTGGGTGAATGAAACTCAACCGAAAGAACAACAAAGGAATGCCACAGGCCCATAGGACTAAGGAGTATGCAGATATTCTAAGGAGACTAGACAAAAAAGTAAAGGCTAATCGCTAAATGCGGATTTTAGATAATCAGGCATTGGAAGAAGACGAAGTAGCCCGGGAAACAGAATTCCAAATTTGGACGGCGGCATTCCAAATACCGGCGGACGCCACGCCAATGCCTACGGCCTGTGAATATCCCGGTTTGGAGTCCAGCTTCGATTCCAGTTGAAGCAGCCGCGAGTGGATGACATCGAGCTTTTTGGAGGTAATATCTGGATCAGAGTCACCCTTTTTCTTGCTTTGGGTGGTGGTGATCATTCTGAAAACGGCGTTCTGCAAATCTTGAATGACTTTGAAAGAGGCTCCTTGAGTGTCCATGCCCTGCTTCTCGTAATGCGCCACCAGCTCACTCGGGGTTGGTAATCTCCTCCTGTTCTTCTTCTTCCCTGCGGCATCCTCATTTTCCGCTCGTGATTGGCTCGGCAGCAATGGGGGCGGCGGGGGCGGTGGTTGGAGCTCCATTGCTTCTTCTCTCTCCCGTCTACAAGAGAGACACAGAGATTGAGCAAAGAAAAATTGTTTTTGGGGAGAAAAGCCCTACAAATTTTCGGCTCCCGTGTTCGGATAATGTCGTTGGATTGGACTGCAAACATAAACTAGCGACTTTTGGCTTCTTGGTTAGTGCTAATATGCGCTTCCGGCCTTTTCACTTCTGTGAACACGATTTAGTTTGAGTAATTTACAAATCAAATCATTTAAAATAATTTGGTATAATTTTGAACATGTTGATGTCGATTTGAAAATTAACATCGGATCACTTGGGAACCCACCTCAACCTTGTCAAATGAGCATTTTTTTTAATGATAATCAAACTGAAAACACATAAGATCAACCTAAGGCTCCACCCATACAGGTTGACCCTTAAGAAATGTCATTTGAAAATATAATCATAACACTATGAAAATGCGTCCTCCTTTAAATGACCAACACCATCTGCAATAACCAATTGAAGAAAAGTCATCACGATCTAAGGTGCATAACTAAGGTCTACATATCATGACAATCTTGTCACAATTGAACTTTCTGATCAATCAAATCTCTTCAAATGGACACTTGCACATATTCCTAGGCAAGACAATATATAATGGCATTACTAGGCAAAAAGTTTGAGTCTAGCGGCTTACATAAAGAGACGAAGGCCCCAAAAAGGGGTTGAATTGTTAAAAATCTCTATATACCACTTGTACTCAAATTTCAGTAAATATAATGAGGTTATTCTGCTAAAATTTCTATAAAGTCGATCTAAAAGTGTCGTGTCATTTTTTATCATCAACACTTGGTCACTAGAAAGGGGCATATTGCTAAACAAGCCCACATTTTTCAGTCACTCTTTCCCAAATCTTCTATCCTTCAAAATCCTTCAGAAAAAGAGCCATAGTGCAGTATCAAGAGGCTGTTCCAAAACCAATTTCGATGACCTAAACCTCCCAAGTAATTTCCAAGGGGCATGAGGCTAGAAGTGAATCCATGGAGGTATGAAATCCTCAGATGACTGCTGTGCATGAAGCCATAAAGTGCCTCATCAATGCAGTACTTATGTAGCTCGTTTTAGTTTGATGCACCACGCATGTTATGTTCGAGACAAAAACGCTCGGCCACCTATCTGGAAGGAATTTATGGTTTTCAAAAGAAGAGTCCTCCAGGAGCAAGACTGAAAACACTAAGCGTGTGCATTCAAAATTCAAGCGAGTTGGAAGCATTTTGACCTCCAGGGTCATGTGACTCGTCCACCTGGAGAAAAGGCTCGCCAAAACATAAACAACAGAGTCCTACAGAATCAGAGGCACCATGGGAGTTGGATCGGCTAAAAGAAGCGCATAACTGATTTAAAAGCCAAGTAAAAGGGAGTGGCGAAAGAGTACTTCACCAACTACTACTTCCCCTTCACTAAGGTCACGCTGACAGAAAACTAAAGATGTCACAGCTCGTTGGTTATGAAGGAGAAGGTGACCCCATAAGTCACCTTAATAAATATGCATCTTGGATGGAGCTCAAAGGAATAATATGCATGGCCTTCTCCCTCACCCTTGACAATAAAGTGCAAATGTGGTTCAGGAAGTTGCTCCAGAGGTTGGTCAGAAGTTGGAACTCATAACAACAGCCTTTTTAGGCCAATGATATATTCAATACAAGTAGGTTCATTTACACTTAAATAAATAACTTTTTACTTGTAAGTAATGAAAAGCCACTTATCAATTTTACCTTAGTGGACTATAAACTTATCCAAAGATGACACATTTGGGACTTGAATAATGCTAAGTGTACACTATTTTTTACACAATCTTTTACACCTCTCTCACATGGAAGGGGGTCCACACATAATAAAATAATCGTAGACCCCCCTCCATATGAGAGAGGTGTAAAAGATTGTGTAAAAATGTGTGTGTACATGTAGCTTTACCCTTGGGACTTTTAGGTGCAAAAGGGCATCGGGGACTATTGTATTTCCTAAATTCAGCTCAATTATGCCAAGAGTGGACTACAGTGATTTTTTGGGCTTCTCTTCTGAGCCCAATCAACTAACCTCCATTCCTTGCAAGTGTTTGTTTTGCCTAGGGCATTGTGAACGATTGTATTTCCTAAAGGGAAAATTAGGTCCAGTACTCTTGTTTTTTAGGTGTTTTTGATTAATACCCTTAAACTCTAATTACACATTTTAATGAAGTATTAATTACGTCTTAAATTGACACTTATGTGTACAATAAATGATTGAGTAACAACTACTGTTCCAAGTGAAGCCACTCTTGAAATAATATCAGGTAATGCAATCCTCCATATTTTCTTTGATTCTTCATAAATGCTTCCTTTGAACTCACCCAACACTTCCTTTTCTGAACTCAGCAGCTTCTCTTTTAAGTCGCTACCCATGGCCATGGAGTTTTTATGGAAAATCAACTCACTGGTATCATCAAATAAAATATGAGCACCATGTATTATTCTGCATGAATGATAATCAATGAA